CGTATTTCGTGGGTGGGGGGCAAACCCCCCTTGGTCGATCACGTTCCGGGGGCGTATCCCCCTTGGTCCTTTCACGATCACATCTCGGGGACAGGGGCGAATCCCCCTCGGGTCCTTTTGTGATCGTATTTCGTGGGAGGGGGCAAACCCCTCTTGGTCCTTTTACGATCACGTTCCGGGGGCGTATCCCCCTTGGTCCTTTCATGATCACATCTCGGGGACAGGGGCGAATCCCCCTCGGGTCCTTTTGTGATCGTATTTCGTGGGAGGGGGGCAAACCCCCCTTGGTCCTTTTACGATCATGTTCCGGGGGCGTATCCCCCTTGGTCCTTTCATGATCACATCTCGGGGACAGGGGCGAATCCCCCTCAGGTCCTTTTGTGATCGTATTTCGTGGGAGGGGGGCAAACCCCCCTTGGTCCTTTTACGATCACGTTCCGGGGACAGGGCCGAATCACCCTCGGGTCCTTTTGTGATCGTATTTCGTGGGAGGGGGGCAAACCCCCCTTGGTCCTTTTACGATCACGTTCCGGGGGCGTATCCCCCTTGGTCCTTTCATGATCACATCTCGGGGACAGGGGCGAATCCCCCTCGGGTCCTTTTGTGATCGTATTTCGTGGGAGGGGGGCAAACCCCCCTTGGTCCTTTTAAAATCACGTTCCGGGGACGTATCCCCCTTGGTCCTTTCACGATCACATCTCGGGGACAGGGGCGAATCCCCCTCGGGTCCTTTTGTGATCGTATTTCGTGGGAGGGGGGCAAACCCCCCTTGGTCCTTTTACGATCACGTTCCGGGGGCATATCCCCCTTGATCCTTTCATGATCACATCTCGGGGACGGGGGCGAATCCCCCTTGGTCCTTTCGCGATCGCATTCTGGGAGCGGGTGGCGTATCCCCCTCAGTTCGTTTGCGATCACGTTCCAGGGGGCGTACATATTCTCGTGCACTGACTCGTTCGCGAATCTAAACAGTCAATCAGAGCGATCTCTCTTATCGACAGCCCAGACGCAGATTCAACATACTGAACCAGAGGGCCCTTAGAAACAGTTCACCCAAAGATGATAATTCTGTCGTCATTCACTTCCTCATTTCGTTCCAAACCGTAGGATTTTCAGAAGAACAAAAGGAGATTTTAGGCAGAATGTCTGCTCTGATTAGTGGAAGCATGCATTGACATTAGGCTCCAGAAAAAAAACATCACAAACACCAAGTTTGGTGCATTTTCACAGTGCAAGTCTTTTGAAGCCAATCAATCGCTTTTTGCGGAAATGTTCTCAGTTGTATCTTACAAAATTTGCAGTTCTCCATGAACAAACTTGTCAAGACATTTCATGCCAAGTGGATGCCAAACTCAATTGGTTGGCATAGCCTACCTCTAACAGTCACGACACTGAATATGCAGACAGGATTCAAGAGCTAATTCAGTGAATAGCAACTTAAATTTCTCTCTGTTCCAGGGCTATTATTGTTAACCGAAACTCAAATTATATATTGACTTAAATAAAGTTAAATGTTAAAAATATATATATGTTCATAACAACAGTAAATGTTGACAAAGCAAGTGGAAAATAGTATTTTTTTTATTAATTATTTATTTATTATAATATTTTTCATGAAATAATTCAACCAAATTATTAAAATATGAATTCCTCATATTGGAAGCTAAAGCAGCATCTAAGCTGTATATGTCCCATATCAAGACGATATATGAAAATAACTACTTTTTGTGTTGTTGTCCCTGCACCATGTGACCTACTTGGTTCAATAGTGAGGGTGATGTTAAATTTAGCAGGCCTGATTTACAGCCCTGAGACCAAACACATGACAGCATAAAGGCACATACACAGCCCATGTTTTGATGCTTGCCTGATCATTATGTCTCAATAAAGTATTGAGCTTTCATGTGCTTTTCTGGTAAATCATAGTATGCTTTGTGTTTTTCCTCTGTGTGGAAAACATTGAGCAATGATAACTTTAATGTAACAAAAAGGTTGCAGCCATATACAACTGTGACCTTAAAATGAGTATGAATAAGAATGAAAATAAATAAGTAATTAATCATTTGAAAAAGAAATTAAAAATATATTCGATGTAGTAAATATATGAATCTTAAAAAGTAACACTACTTCCAGAGTTGGGGGTAACGCATTACAAGTAACATTACGTAATCAGATAACTAACAAGTAAGGTGACACATTACTTTTAAATTTACAACAAAATACCTGAGTTACGTTTTCAAACAATTAACACAAGTTACTTTGTTTTTCCATATATTGACTGACTCCTCTCCTTTCCCCATGTTGAGAGAAATCGTGAGTAAGAAATCAGAGGCGTTGTGTGCGCTGTGTGTGAACATGATGGTTATTGTAGCTCTAAATGTGAGCATGCATTTACTCATCTCACTCGCACAAAACACAATCACTATTCCTCAAAATGAATTAAAACAGTGTTTCTTCTCCTGCGTCCTATTCTTCTGCGATTCAGCATGGCAGCACAGCTGAAAGCTTTGAGCGGCGCCCTCTACTGTACAGGCATGAAAGTGCATTTCCTTCACCCTTAGTCTTATTTATTTAATTTTTGGTGTGAAAGGGCCTTTACAATTGCCAAAAATACAACAAACAAGCCCAGCCTAGGTGAGAAAAGTAACGCAAAAGTAACATAATGTATTACTTTTAGGGATGTCCCGATCCGATCACGCGATCGGAAATCGGGGCCGATCACGTGGTTTCAGACTCGATCGGAATCGGAGGTTACCTCCCGATCAGGACTCGGATATATGTAAATTAGGGGTGTAACGGTACATGTATTCGTAATTATTGAACCGTTTCGGTACTAGGCTTCCGGTTTTATTGCGGTTGTTCCGCATACAAACCGAACGATTCCTAGGACCATTTTTCCTGCAGACAAAACCCGCGCTGGCGCGATCACCACAACCTTGCGCAACATCAGATGGCAAACGTAATGAATACCGAACGAAACTGCGCTTCTCATTATATTGTGCTTCACGGGCCATTTATCAGTTCGGACCAGCAACATCTGTGCAGCGCGAGATCAAGCGACACTGTGCGACATCAAGCGCTTCACTTTCCAGTGAAGAAAACATTTGAATTCGCCACTGAAGTAATAACATTGCTGCAAGATCTAGTGAGAAGCATTCACATTTCTCCGTTATTAACCGTAGATCTCTATTAGATCAAACAGCGCTGACGTGGAAACCAGGAGAAACATTGTGCCGTGAATGAACATGGATTTAATGTTGCACTTCAAAATTCAAATATTATATAAATATATATTTAAATGTTATTTTTAATGTGATTACCAAAACATTATTTGTTCATCCTTCAAAGATTACCCCCATTTATAAACCTGAAAGTTTCAAGATGTAGGAAAACTCAAACTTATTTAAAAATAGTTTTTCTTTTAATAAATAGGAAATTTCTCTGGCATTTCTTTCTTTTTGCTGTATCGTATCGAACCGAACCGCAAATTTTGTGAACTGTTACACCCCTAATGTATATATATATATATATATTCTCATTAATTTTTTATACACTTTTAAAACATTTTTATTTCTTGTTTACATGCCTGCCGGGTATTTTAAGTTGAGGTGCTATTTGTTTTTATATTAGACTTTTTCTATATTTACTGTTGCACTAAAGTCAAAAAGTGAAGATTTTATGTTATTTATTACTTGATTGTTCAAGCTACCTCACAGAAGTGCTCTGTTTGTTAACAGAATTGTTGAATGTTAAAATAAGGCGAATTAAATAAAAAATAAGGAACATCCTGGATCTGTTTTTTCTCTCTTCTTTATTATTTTTTTATGTATTATATAAGTATCGGATCAGGACTCGGTATCGGTAGATAGTCAAAATCAAATGACTCGGACTCGGACTCGAGGGCAAAAAAACCTGATCGGGACATCCCTAATTACTTTGCACAAAAAGTAACTAACACAATTAGTTACTTTATTAAGGAGTAAAGCAATATTGTAAAGCATTACTTTTAAAAGTAACTTTCCCAAATACTGATTACTATCATGTGCCAACAAATGGAAGAGATTTGCTTTGTGCCTTTTTTCATTCATCATGCTTATAATTTGGTGTCACAACCACTACAGGAACTCTGTAACCTTAACTGTAAATTGTTTGCGATTTTTAGCTAATTTCCCTGAATTTAAGTAGACATTATTAGTAGCCGCAACATCAGAACAACAAAATGGCTAAAGAAAATGTATTTAACACGTGTTATGATTATTTTGTCAACAGCATAACATGGCAATGGCAACATGATTAACTTAGTATGTTCAGATTACATTCACATTACACACATTCATACTACGTATATACCACATACTTTTTTTTAGTGGTTGCAAAGTTATTTCAAAGAACTCAGAGAGGGCCTATGTGATTTCAGGGACAGCCAATGTCTAATATACGTGGCGCGTCCATAGCCAATAAAACTATTCACGCCTCTTGAAGGCGCAAGATTTTTTTGTCTGATGGGGTTGTTGACATTTCAAATCATTTGAATGCTATCTTGTAACAGCACAATTTTTACGTGTAGACACTTCAATCCAAAATAACTTGGTTTATGCCTTGTCTGTTGTGGCAGTGCTCAGGAAACAGATATCCAAAAACCTACTGAGGAACATCATTTAAATGTTATAGAAATAGCACACGTCTCTTGCTGGTCTTAGACTGTATCTCCTGTCATAAAACGTTTATTCCCTTCAGCTGTTGCCCATGTGTTCAATCACGCCATTGAGGATGAGCTCATTTATGTGGTAAACACATATTGTTCAAGTTTTTCGAAAGAGACCCCGCAGGCTGCTCATTGGTGCTGTCATTGATGTTTATTAGGGGGTGGCGTTGAAGCTTGATGTGCTTGTGAAAGTACAGTGGCAACCTGGGTGGAGTTACACCACAGTCACTCGATACAGGGGATGACATCCCCAAAATAACCCTACAAAGGGTATAAAGGGATCTGCTTCAACCTTCACTGTCAGAAGAGCAGACTGTGTACACCGTGGAATAAAGTTAATGAAACTAGTAGTGATGATGAGACAGATAAATTGACAAAACTTGACCAAAAAAGCAAATCCACCCAAAACGGAACAGATTTCTCTGGGAAAGTGACCATTATTTCAGACCTGAAGCGGATTGTGGTTGTTTTAAAAACAGAAGACGGTGTGAACCCAAAGTGTTGACGTTCAAGATCCCCCCCCAAAAAAAGGATTTTACTCTAGCGTGGAGCTTGATTTGAGGCATTTTGAGTTCTTTATCCTCCTCTTGAGCCCAGAGCCGAGGGGGAGGCAGAGCCGTGGCGTCTGCGGGAATGAAGTACAGCTACCAGTATCCGGTGTCACAGTACACACGCTCCAACACGCACTATACATCCACACATTACACACCTTCACATTACTCCAGCAGCTCGTACTCGCCCAGCTACTACAGTGCCACGAAGTTGAGCCCTACTACACTCCACACGCCATCACACTACGTTCCACCAGCTTACACACCTGCATACAAGCCCACCTCCACTTACACCGCCGTCTACAGCAAGCCATCACGGCAGAGCAGTTCGACCCGGACAAGTGTACAGCTTACTCCTACTGTAACCCTCAAACCCGCCCGGGCCGTGCGCTTCACAAACGATCTTGTATTCCAGGATTTAGTCCGGCACAGTGAGCTGGAACAGATCGGCCGGTTTATGAGGGCGAGGAAAGTGCGTCTGGACACCATCTTCCATTCTGGTGAGTGAACCTCACCAAATCTACAACTTATTTTAGAGGTGCTAAGATTTTATTGTGCTGAGATTAAGCAAACCATTCATAGGTTTTCTTCCTGAAAAGTGTGAAGGCATCGGCTTTATGGCGTGTTTGTAACATAGATCAAACATAGCGGTCTAACATGTCAACTTCTGGTTCAACCAATGGTAGGAAGTTGGGGCAATAGGGGTTAAGGTTTAGCTTCGGCCATTACGGTGTGCTTAAGTCAGGTCAGAAAGAACGTATTTACGAGAACATCAGCACAACTAATTTTGAGTTTAATTATGAGAATTAATGATTTTCTTAAGAGTTTCGGAGATGGGTGTGTGAAGGTGAGAAAACTATTTATTTATGATTTGTACTGGTGTAGAGTCAAAGAATCTTGTTGAAATGTAATTGCCATCTTGCTCTGAAGATATTTGAAGTCATAATTAACTTTTCGAGAGGACTTGAATGGACACATCTGTTTGTAGACACTGTAATGACAAAAAGTATGTTACTCCTCTGATGTCTATTCAAAAGTAGCTGAGTATCACAAAAATGCAGTAAAGCATTTGCAAAACTGCTTGTCACCGGGACAATAACCTTAAAAGGATGAATTTGTACCCTTAAAAGTTGAATATTAGTACCTTAGAGTAATAGTAAGTACCCTTAGGGTAATACTATGAAGTTTTTATGGGTAAATCAGCTTCAATTTCTGCACATTTGTTTCTGAGAGCGAATATCATTGTAGATGGTTCATCAGTGATGGATTTTGTTGGCTTATATTTTTCTCTTTTTACTTCAGGGACTTCTTTGTATAAGCGTTTATGGTTATTTCTCAGACGATTGGTCAAAAACAATTCACCAGAACTGATTGCCTATTAAACAATGGTGGAAAAATTCAAAGCACAGATTTCCTCGACTGTACACATCAGCAGAGCAAATGGCATTCAAGGGATAGTTCACCCTAAAATGAAACACAAATATATACGGGACGTGTCGCATGGAATCATTCTGTGATACTTTTGTGTCTTTTTAAAATAAAAAAAAGCTTGATGCTGGTCGATATTCACTTCGAGTGGGACATTTTTTTTTAAAAATCCTTTGTGGTCCATAAAAGAAAGAAAGACATACAGCATTAGAACAACACCAGGATGAGTAAATGATGACTTAATTCTCATTTTAGGGTGAACTATCCCTTTAAGATGAAAGGGAACGTTAACAAATTGCTCTCAACTTCTTGGGAAAAAAAATATTTTGCCAACTAATGGAAGATGGAGGATTTTGGGAATATTTTGCCATTCCGTTTGGTGCCGCTTGTGGTGCAGAAATAGCACAATTAACTTAATACAGGGTTCTTTGTGTGTATGTTTAGGGAGAATTAGTTAAAGCTTATGGCATCTGTTTGAGTCTGGGGTATTTTCTGCTATCTGGGAAGAGAAACTGAGCAGCCCACAAGAGCTGATTTGTATTTTTCTTCATCTTCTCAGGAATGGCAGCACTCCATGAAGCCGTTCTCTCAGGAAACCTGGAGTGTGTGAAGCTCCTGATAAAGTACGGAGCTGACGTTCATCAGAGGGATGAAAACGGATGGACACCACTGCATATGGCGTGCAGCGATGGTTACCCTGAGATTGCACGGTGAGAGCATGTTCACACAAGCAATACCAAAAACCGTCTGAAAACAAATTAATATTGCATTAGATTACCTTGTGCTTGCAAAAACAAATGTATTTCAATGACAAAATCACTCATACATCAACAGACACATTAACTCATGCACTCAACACAAACAATGAACAATGAACCATGACAATTAATGGACAGTTTAACTCTACTATAACTATACCGGACAGTATCATAACAGGTACTGAAATGTTCTTGTTTTTCAGAGGGGGTATTATCAGATTTGCTCAATTATTTGTATTAAAATGTAAAATATATATTTTTTTCTCTAGGTACCTTCTCTCTCTGGGTGCCAGTGTGGAAGCAGAGAATGAAAATGGGGAGAAACCAGCAGATCTCATCGACCCAGACTGTAAAGATCTGCTCAAACTCTTCGAGACAGGCTGTGTTTGAGGGCTGAGCCACAGAAGAACTGAGGAAAAAATGCTAGAATTTATGATCACTGTCCTGAGCTTCTCATTTTGTGTGGTTTAACGTTCTCCTGGATATTCTTCTTTCTTTTTCTTTCTTTTAGCTGTAGATGCGACTTTAGTACAAGGCTACTGAGGAACAACAAACAGTTGTTAGCTTTGAAAGTCAAAACACTACCATAAACAGCCCATTTTTATTTCTGAGTGAAACATGATATTCAACAAGAAGAAAATTTGTGATTTTATCCATTGGGAATAGACTGGATTATGAAAAGTCGGTGTTACATACCAGATTGTCAGAAGGTTTGAGTGGAGAGGATGAAAAAGGAAGAGAGATTTCTAATGGCAGACATTTAGTTGAGGCTAAGCAAGTTATTCTATTTTAATTAAAGATTACAAGGACAATTTTTTTTTTCTGGAATAACACAATAATGCCAGGACTGTATATGTAAAGATGCGTGTGTATGTGAACTTCACAGGAGCACCATACATTTACACAAACCAGCATCTCTCAGTGTTTACAGACAGATCTTTTCTGAATGCCATCTGCAGTCGTGTTCATTTTCATTGCTGTGTTAAACATAATGTACCGGGGTCCTTTTGATGTGCTCATGATTGTTAATAGTTTCACAAAAGATATCTTTTATGTGACAATGGATTCAGTCCTGTTGATGCAAAGAGTACTTCACTCCCCAGATGGACCGCTGTGCTGTCTGTCTGCTGGGCAGCAGGAGCACACACTGCAAACCTGCAGAAACACTGAGGGTTCGTGCACTACTGTTAAACCTGAGGGCACTACTGACATTTTGAATATCTCTTGTCAAAGTCTTATATTTATCTCCTTTTTTTTACAATGTTTTCATAAATAAAGCTGCTTTTATACACATATTGAGTTGTTTTTACATTATATTATACAAAAAAAAAAATGTATATATATGTTGTGTAACAGGAATGGATGGATTGCATTTTTGGATTCAAATCACAAAATTAGTAAACAAAAACAATTTCTAAAGCATGGGCTCCTAAACATTAGATCGCTCAAACTTGTAACCTTCTCACAGTTGTGTTTGCAGGCAGGAAGACGAAGAGAGTTGAATAAAGTTCCAAACATAGTTTAATAACAAGTAATCCAAAAGGCAGGCATTAACACAACAGATACAAAACGGAGACCAGACAATGAGTGAGAGCAAAGGTACAACTTAAGTAGCGAACACAAACAAGGTAATCTACTAAACACAGCTGAACTGAACTAACTAATAACCATAGAAACAGGTGAGTGGAGGGAAACCTAGAGCAAATGGAAATAAACCTATTGTATTTAGAGGTCTTTAGAATCGCGTGTAAAGACAGTTTGTCCCGCTATAAAAAGTCTCTAAAAGCCGGCCAGGGCCGAGCATCTCCACAAACTCATAAAATATAACTAATTGAATTCAAGGTTCCCCTTCAGGGACTACCGCTGCGTGTAATCGCAGTGGGAACGCCCTCAGCGTGACGCGTCTGAAGCATGAATGAAATCAGTCAATGGAGAGAATGAGCGTACGGCGAGTGACGTCATAGACCAGGAAGCTATAAATATCCCCTGAGTACACAATACGCCAGCTTTAGTTACTTCAGCAAGCTCTGTGTGTGTCTGAATCTGTCGATTGTGTTTGTCTGTTTTGTCAGGAGTTTTCACTATATATTTTATATTAAAAAAAAAACAATATGAGCGAGCAGTATAAGAAGTGTGTTCCCCCCTGTACTCGGTACATCACGGGTGGGGATTCACACGAGCTATGTGTGGCTTGTTTGGGAGTGCAGCAATGCCCGGTCGGCTCTCGAGGGAGTCGATTGTCAGCATTGCGAGCGTTTTCCCTTGAGAACTCTGCGCTCGCGGCGATCGCTCTTTGAGGAGAGTGGTTTGCTGCGAGCTCCCCGAGGCTCGGGTTCCGCTTCTGTTGAGGCAGAGCGGCGGCGCTTGTCTTGGGGCTCGCAGATGGATCTCACTGGCGACGTTGAGACGGGCCCCGCCCTATCTCAGCTATCTCCGCCGAGATCTAGTGCCTCTCACCCGGCTCTGGAAGCACGTGCTGCGGTGGATACTTCTGCCCGGGTGGAGGCACATGATGATGTTGAATTGAGATTTTCCAGTTCTGAGGAGCTGGATGTCGA